TTCACTTACAGTGTTGTGCTTGATACTAAAAAGTTTTTTTCTAAATGAATTTCCATAGACTCAGTATATTCTAACTGCCTTCCTTCTTGCCCCATAAGATTATTTAATATATCCTTCTAACATTTTAGCTATTCTGGGCTAAAATGCATCTCCAGGTATATAAGATATTTTTTCTTTCACAATTCTTACTATTCTTCAGTTTTCTTCACACTTGACTTCAAAATTGACTTCCTGAAATTTTTATCAGTCTACTTCTGTGATGTCTAAAACCTAAGTCTATTTCATTTCAAGGATAATTTGTTGCTGAGTGCTCGAAGAGTGATAATATAGTTCCTGATGAAATCTCTTGAAAGTACATAGATGATCTAAGCCTCGAATTGCTGCTGTTTGCCAATATTAATTATACAATCTCCAAGTCCAAAATAAGCTCATTTTAATTATTCATTTTCATGTGAAGTTATAAGAAAATGAAAAGTTAGAGCCATAAATGCAAAGTTCTTATTCTTTCTTCAGTGTCTTTGGTGTATACCATTCTTACTCCTTTTACTCATGTGGTTCTTTCTGCTTGGAATAATTTCTCCCTCTATGTTTGTCAGGATCCTAGCCATCCTTCAAAGCCTTGTTCAAATTTTACTTCCTATTTGAGGCTCTTTCTGATTACTCTGGTGCTCATGGATTTTTCTTCCTTTTAGAATGTCTATTTCTGAAGTTAGTCATTTAAAGAAAGTTTGGCCTGTGATTGATCTCCTCGGATTGCTTCCTGTAAGACAAGTCTGTATGTTAGACTTATCTCATTAGTTAGGCTATAAACTTTTTGAAGACAAGGACTGAGCTATTTTTCTTGAATAACCCATAAAATGATTTTGAAAAATTATGTACCTCCTTACACATTTTTAGGTTGACATGTGAAATTTTGTCTTAAGTATAAGTAAGTGCAAAGGATATAATTAAAAATATCATCATTAAAGACAAAAGAAAACAACTGTTACATGAGTCCTTTAAGAGTATCTACAGGAATCTAAATACTATTGTGATTGATACCTATAAGTGTGCTTTAGAAAGAAAAACATGGCCTTCTTTAATTGTTGGAAATTTTATACCATTCCCTTTTCTCCTTGAAGTCATATTTCTTTTTCACATCCCTCACAGAATTTTATCCTAATAGAAAGTATTTTTATGCTTTTAAGTCTCCTCTACATCAAATATGTATGTAAATTGAAATTATTTTTCTAAATTGTCTGTGACCAGAGGTTTTAAGTGGTAAAAATATTCCCTCTAGATTGACTTACATTACAATTATTTTTTAGTGCGCAATTGATCAAAGCCACATAAATGTATTATAAATTTTTATAAACACTTATTAAACATAAAAAATACAATTTTATTGGAAAGATACATTTTTATGAGAACTGCTTATTTTACCCACATATGAATATTACTTATTTCTTGAAATAAGAGGGTTCAGCATAAACTGTTTCTGTTTTATATTTTTATAGATGTAAATGCTGAGAAGACTCGTTCACATAAAGTTGTGGGTGGAAATAGATGTTTTATTATAACAATGTCAATCAATTCTATGAATTTCTTCCAAGTAATATGCCAAAATTATATAGTGATTTATTATTAAAGTGTTTTTCATTTCTTGTAACTAATAACTTGGTTAGGTCTTTCTTCACTGTTGTTGAAAGCAAATTATTGGAAGCACTCTACTTAGAAGAAGATTTGTTTAACAGTCATTAGGAGTAATTTACTTTCTCAATTTCTGGGAATAATACCAAAATAACTTTACTAAAATTTATCAAATGACTATTAGTTATACTAGTTACACTTTAATTTAACCCAATATACTCAGAATGTGTGTGAAAAATATGAATAGTAATTGCAATATACCTGTAAATACAATATTTTTTTGAGAAAATGATTTTATTGTGTCATATGCTTTACTTTTTAAAAATTTTAAAAAATTTTTTTAATTTTTAAAATTTTTTATTGATTTATAATCATTTTACAATGTTGTGTCAAATTCCAGTGTAGAGCACAATTTTTCAGTCATACATGAACATATATATATTCATTGAGACATTTTTTTCTCTGTGAGCTACCGTAAGATCTTGTGTATATTTCCCTGTGCTATACAGTATAATCTTGTTTATCTATTCTACAATTTTGATATCCTGTCTATCCCTTCCCACCCTCCACCCCCTTGGCAA